GTTTTTTTGTTTTTACAAGAGTTTGGCTCCTCTCATTAGTTGATCAAATATATTTTTATTGCTTCCTTCTTTGATCGGTGCTTTGTGTTCCGCATTCCTGAGGACAGCAGGGCACAAACAAGACACAAATTTGGGATAAATGAGTTCTAATCGAGTGAGCCTGGATTTCTCATCCAACATCAGTGTCTGACCTCACAAATAGATATAATCAGGTAAATCCGTGGGTTAAGCTAATCAAGGGAACACTTCTGTCAGTGTTGAGTGTTTCCGAGCGGTGCTGGTGAACAGGGACCTGTTGTGAGCGTGTGTGAGGTGCATATGGTTAAACACTTCTACAGGTCTGCTATTAGTCACACTTTCACATCTCAAATTGAATTAGCGTTGACAGCGCGGAGCGTCAGACGCGTGTGCATGTGTGTGTACTAATGGTGTCCAAGTGTGTGCGAGAAACGCAGGGGGAAGGGGACTCTCCTCCCTGAAATCAATTAAATGAGTATAGGTCTGCAGCAGTGGGGGTGGGAGGGGCACATCCTGTAGGGGGCAGCGCAGATAGACAGCACCATCTGGGGCAGCAGGCAGATCTGACCCAAGGTTGAGACTTAAAAGCACCGAGGTAGGGATAAGAAGAGAGGGAGTACAGGTCTGCATTAAATCACTCTTTTTCCCCACCATGCTCCTTCACGCCATCCCTCCGTCTGCCATCCGATACATCAGCCACGGAGCATCACTCAATCACACCCCCAAGTCCTGTCTAACCCTACCCCCCGTTTAGATCCGTCCCAGGAGTGATAACCTGTCATACACAGGAAGCAAAAACAGGGGAGGGCGATCCATCCCACTGTCAGAGATACGGGCAAAGAGTAAAAGAATATCTCACATCTCTTGTTCCAAAAAGAGCTGATTTATAGGGTTGTACTAAACCAAACCGGTGCCAGGGTCTTTTTTTTTTATCATTCACAAGCTGAAACACCCTCCTCTAGTAATGCCCTGTTTGGAAGGCAGCCTGCAGATGATGGACAGCCTGGGTCAGAGAGGACGGTGTGTTTGTTGGTCATAAGGTGAGTGCTGACAGCCTTCATCTAACCACTAAAACCCGCAGCTCCACTGATCACACAAAGCTCAGCTCAACAAGAAAGGCCGACTAATCTCAATTATATTGATCCCTGTCAGAGTGGAAAACAATGGAATAGAAAAAGGTCAATGATCAAGTTGTTCATAAGGACTGTATGAAAAGTTATCTTAATATGCAGAGCAGTAGCGTGTGCAGATGAAGAAAGGCTTTTGTTGACTGCTTTAGTCCCAAAGTGAAGGAACAACATGGAAACGATGTGTTAAGATCAGGATTGCTTGGCTGATTAAAACATTGCTGGAAATTGTGCTGTTTTCAGGTCTGGATGGATGGCTTAGAGGAATACGTCCCTAAAACACACATAGTCATAAAACCATGCAGGTCTGCTGCTGCTGGAGCCGCAAAGTGAAACTGCATTCAAATATTCTGAGGATCTTTGAGAAGAACTTTGCTCAGTGAAGGAAAACATCAACTGCTCCTCGATTTTACACGTTTAGCTACAAACCTTGAATGATGCAAGGTCCCTCATCGAAAAGGTGTGGATCCCATATTCATCGCTCTTTACCTTGATTCCTTCAAATGAAGTAGAAGCAGGTGTTCTGTGAGGGTAGAGAGTGTTTGTGATCAACTCATGTTTTTAAAATATTACTGAAATATACTAGTTTTAAAAGGTGGCCAGGCGACTGGAGTGTAACTCTGGAGGAGCTGGCTGGATAAAAAAAATATCCAGTGGGAGGGATGGATCTATTAACAGTAGTTTACTGTTAATCACACGCTCCACAAATGTCTCTTTTATGAAAAGGTTTTTCTATGAAAAGGTTTCTCTTTTAATGAAAAGAAAACAATGGTTTAAAGCAATCCATAGAAATGTTGTTGTTTGCCACAAGCCACAGACAAAGCTTAAACGTTTTTAGTCTAATTAGACTTTTTTTCGGAAAATATGTAAAAATGATATATGAAGGACGACACATCAGCCTGCACTTCTTTTGTTTTCGAACTGGAAAACATGGTGGATGATCTTCATCATCAGTGAAGCAGGTTGGTGTTTTTTTATGACTAAAGGGATAGATTTTTCTTCTTACAAAATACTTTCAGAATGTCTGGCCAGATTCCAGGCCGTACCGTGGCAGTTGCTGCACCTTTTGGGGAAGCCCTATGTTAACATAATCCCCTTTGCAGCAGCCAATTTTCTGTAAGGCAACATAAATCAATGTGATTATCACAAATCAAACCATTAACTAGGAGACTTTTTATGATCTTATGTTAAATAAACCACATTTAATCGTTTAAGCTTTTTCCCTAATTTTAGTTATTTTAATTAGATTATCATGATTTACTCCTTTTCTAATTTATTAGAAGCTTACTGCAACACACTGAAGCGGGGAGTATAACCAGCCCTTTAGGGTAGAGAAGCTGCAGGGAAAAGCCCTTTGGGAAACTCCTCATTGTGACACAGCACACACAAGTGAACACTGCACACCATGAAATTGCATTTATGCCTCACCCGTGCAAGGGGGCAGCCCTCAATGGCGCCCCAAGGGTACCCCTCAGGGTACCTCAGTCATGGAGGAGGATGGGGTTAATTACTCCCCCCACCAACCTGGCGGGTGGGTAGTCGAACCGGTAACCTTTGGGATCCAAGCCTGACACCCTAACCGCTCACCCACGACTGCAGAAGCTGCAGAGAGGTGTGTTAAACTAAACTCTAAAACCCACTGAAACTGACTGAAACTATCACATATCATAATGAGTAAAATGTGACCAAAACTAATAATACTTTTCATCCAGTTTTAATACATATCTATTATGTCAGGCAGCGGTGGCAGGAGTGGAAATAACCAGGAATGATCCAGTACTGTGCGCTGAACTCTGACTAACTCTGATCTTCAAGCTGTGCTTGTGTAGGAATGTTTCTTTGCATGGATTAGTTCAGAGTCTGCCCTTTACGCTCCACTCTGATGGTTCACTTTCAGCAGTATGGCTCTTCCGTCTCTTGCTACTTAATAAACTATATGTGGCTGATCATCCTCCCCCGAGCATAAAAAATCTTTTAGTCCAACTATTAAGATTTTATTTCTTCCAGCTCACAAGAGGTGATAGTAAACTTTCTTTAATTTCTTCCAAAAGGGATCCCTAAATTATATCCAAAGGAAATATTTCATTGCATAAAAAAACAGACTAAAACTATCATATATAGTAATGACTGAAATACGACTAAGACTAAACGTTTACATCCTGAAGATTAAGACTAAATCTAAGATTGCTGCCAGAAACAACACTGGTTGCCAGTAGGAGCAGCACATACATGAAGGACACCTCCAGACTGGACCAACTGGGGAGGCCAGCTGGCTCTATGATTGGCTAGAAGCCGGACCCTATGGGGATGGTGGCAGAGACAAGGACACTTAAACTGCTGGACATTATGGACAATGTCATCCACCCTCTGCAGACTGTCTTCACCACTCAGAGGAGCCTGATTGGTGGGAGATTCCTGCTCCCCAAATGCAGGAGCAACAGACTGCTGAACTCCTTTGCTCCTCAAGCCATCAAGCTGTTCAACTCCTCACTGGGGGGAAGGAGGAGGAGGTGATAGTAAGAGGGACAGGGGTCAGAACCCCCCTCCTTGGACACCTGATAAACAGGTGTCCAAGGAGGGGGCTAAACATTACCTATTGTCAGTCACGTGCAATATTCTCCTCTCTCTGTGCAATAACTACTGTCTGGTCTGTATATTCTTTACTTATTTCTAAGGTCAGTCCATCTCTGCAGTCCAATAATCCAAGTCAGCTTCTGTGTAGTCTGTCCTCAGCTCTCTACTGTGCAGATATTTTTATATCTAAAGGAAACATATTCCAGGACATTACAACTTTTTTTAATAATTTTGTTTGATACTATATACACTATTTTCCTAATGTCTGTTGTATTTGATCTTTAATGGCATCTTGATTTAACTCTTTGAACTCTGTATAAGCTGCTGGAATTTCCGAAGGGATTAATAAAGCTGAGTCTTAGTCTGGATCCTGAAGGAACAGCTGCTCATGCAGTCCTAATAAAATTTGGAGGTCGTAATGCAATAAAATGTGATTAAATAATACAGATTATATTATTGCAAGAAAATTCATTACCTTTATAAATACGTTTTGGAGATTCAAAGAATAAAAGCTCAGAAGGGATTTTTCTACATTAATAACAAAGTTTCACAGCTTAGCTGGTTCAAAACAAGGCTAAGTTTAAGGGTAGTGGGGGCATTTTATCGTTAAATTGTATCACATGTCTGATGGAGTAGTAAAAAACGGGCAATAGTTGTTAAACTGCTCTGCCTTTCCGCATTACACTCTGCGGTTAGTCAATATCAGACACAGCTGGTTTCACTTTCAATTTATACAGCCGAGCTTAATCCTGTCTCATTATCTGACCTGATAAATAACTCGTCTTTTATTGAGTTTGCAGAGAAAATAGTATCCATATAAACCTCCACAGAGGGCCTAGCTTAAGCAGTGCTGCAGGGCTCTAGGAGGAGGAGCTTTGCAACCTTTTGGAGGAGATAACTGACATGCAGCATGTTTGTGCTGCACCTCTCTGTATGCTAATCTAATGAATGAGGAGTATATTTACATGTCTACACTCACCGCTGAGCTTTTCTCCTATTTCTGGATGCCATTTCCCATGATTGGAAACAAATGACTCTGGGGTCAAGTTTCCCTCCCTTTTTACTACACGTCAATCACACCGAATGGCCCAGAAACATCCCCTCCTGATGTTATTCCAACCTCAAATCTGCACGCTTTCCCTGTTATTTCAGGCGCCACCTACAAGAGGATTATGTGGACACATTTTGCATCATTATATTTACAATGTGGATTTAAGGAACACGTGGTACTTTCATAAAACATTGGGGTTTCACTTATTTTTTTATCTTTTTATTTGCATGTAAAAAATAAAACAGAGTTCACATAAGCAGATTAATATAAGTACTCCAAACCCCTTAAAAGTGTTGCTTTTTGCAGAGTTGTTGCATAATTGACTTTCATTCTTTGTTGCTTCTTTTCTCTTATTTGAAAAGGAGTTTATTTGAGGTTTTAAGTAATTTTCTACAGTTGCATCTGTTAAGTTTTCAGAGTGTTTGTGTGTCAGCTGCAGGTTGGGGGGAGACAGGTGCAGAGTTCAGCTCTCCTCGCATGAAAGCAATTAGTTTAATTGAAAGATCAGGAATGGGTTAGGAGTTAGAAATTTTGGTCCTCGGTAGACAAACATGGAAATGGCCGACAGTATCGAGTAACCTGGGCTGATTGTGTCTGTAGACAAAGGCCAAGCTGTCTGATAGTGCTGCACCTGACGGTTGGCTGAAATAGACTACCCCCCCCCCCGCCTGGGTTCCTAAATTGACTCCTTCCTGCTATTTCCCCCTTCCAGCCCATGCCTGTTCCTCCCGCACTCGGCTATGACACATTAATTGCTGTTTGGTTATGACCGTTTGTTGGGAAACAGTCCATTTCCCCCATCGTGCCCCGCTTTGCCCTAAACAGAGTTTGGTATTTGGCCTGAAGTTGGAGCTGAAGGCAGGAATTATCACATCAACTGATAATAGGGCGTGCCACAGTTTTCCTTTGATTTGATGCTCGTGAATTTCCTTAACTTAAAGCCTCAAGAAGAATCTACAACTAATTTAACTACAGCTTTTTGGACCATGTGGCTCTTTGGACCATGTCAGCGAGCAAAGATGCTCTTTCTCGTATGTTGGAGTCAAATAGTAACGCTGAAGAACAATCCTTTCACCGCCCTGAGTCGCTGATTAGTTATTGGATGTTTGGTGAAGAAATGGAAGCTGGATGCCAGAAATCTGGCAGCTGTTTCTTAGCTGAAACCACAGAGTAGCTGATGAGCTCCTGCTGTTGGTGAGGGTGGCTGGACCTGAGACACTGTTCACTGTCAGAGGATTTCATTCCATGATTGCAGAGTATTTAGGAGCTGGAAAACTGCTCCTAGTAGGTAGCATGCTGGCTCATATAGGTTTCTGCAGACATTTGCGTTTTCACATGTTTTCGTGTTTGTGGGCGTGGATTGAAACAAACATGCAGGAACTGATGTTCGTATATCTCTCTCTCTATATATATATATCTTAGTAGTTACATGTTTATTTAAATATGTATGTATATAGATACATACAAAAATAATTACATGCATACTCATTGTATCATATTTGTACCTATGTTTGGGGATGTATGAATAGCTGCACCGATCTTAAAATAGTAAAAAAAAAAATACTTTAATTGGCATTTTATAATAATTATTTTAACAGCAACTTTTACAGTAAATACAATTGGTCTTAGTAATTATCCTTACCTCAGGTTCTTTATGCTCTTTGGTAACATTGCAAGTTGAACTAGTTTAAAGCACTAATCTTTATTTAAAAAAGCAATCGGCATCCATCCTGAACAAAAAGGTTTGCATATTTATTCAAAGTTTGGATGTTTTGGCTCATTAACCAGCTTCCAGATCAGTTTTTGTGCTTGGAACACAGAAAGTTAATCACTTCTTAAATATGGGTCACATTTTTTTCCCATTCAGTCGTGCTTGAAGCAGAATTGTTCCTCTTTCTGTTAACTTTTGGCTGGTTTTCTTTTTGGGCCGGTATCTGTGCAGCTGTCAGAGGCAGTGGTTGGAGGTCTGCTGCCACGCAGGATGCCGGAGCAGATAGTCTGTGGTGTTTTCGCTCAGTTTGCCGTCTCTAGAAAGAGCCGTGAGTTGGGGGCTCAGAGGAAAGCTGTAGCTGTAAAGACAGTAGGGAGCCATAGTATCAGCAAGATGAGGTGGTAAAGAGGACCGCTGGGGGCTCAGTGGGGTGTGGAGTTGGATAAGGCATGAAGAGCTCCCAGGAGACCTGTGCAGACACTGATCCCTGCAGTTTAGGGCTTTCTTCCCCTGCAGCGCAGAGAAAAACGGCAGGTCTGCTAATGGAGGAACAGAAGGAATATTTCTCAGTCCATCTGCTCCCAGGGAGGACAAGACTCTGCTAGGCAGCGTAGAAACAGAGGGCGAGTCGGTGGACGTCTTTCCGAAGAGGGGCAGAGTGAGAGCGTGGAGAGCGGAGTCAGGGCAGGAGAGCGGAAGAAGAGCTGAAGATGACGAGAGCGGCAGATAGTTCTTGACCCCGCTGCTCGGTGACGGCGAGCTTCCTGTCAACACATGTCAGAATCACACCGTTACAAGAGTTTGAAAGTTAGACAAGCAAACTAAATGAATTTCAAGCGCAATACCTTGAAGCTGTATGGAGAAAGGCTTAAGGTCCAAGTTCAAAGGGCCTCTCCAGGGATAAGACTCCAGCAGGCCGTCCAGAACCCCTCTATAGGTAAACACATGCAAACAGCTCTATTTACAGCAAAAACACAGAAACATCCTACAGCAGGAATAAACGTTTGATGAGGAAAGGTTTGAAATTCTGCTTTACACAGCTTCAGCGTTATTTGAAGCTTTTATGCAGCTTCACATGGATGTCCTGCAGTAGGAAGGTGTGCTGTACCTGTTCCGTCCAGGATCCCTGAAGCCTTTAGCAAACGGGTTCCTGTCGATCTTCAGCTTGGTGATCTTACCCAAAATAGAGGGAGATAGATGAGTCAGAGCGTCATCTGTTGATGTTTAAGCTAACAATGAGCTCAGCTTCATGCAGGAGGGATGAGGTGCAGATATCACCTCCTTTTACACCAAACATGCATCTGAGAGAAACATTTTTACAGTTTCATGCCCTGCAGTAAGAGGCTGTGGACCCCAGCAGCCCCCCAGCAGTCACATCTTCATCCTGGCTTTCTGTCATGATATGTTCCCTGATAGTAAAATGAGCCCTGATGAAAAGAGCTGGGAGCCCCTGAAACGGCTCTATTACCAGAGGAATGGCAGCGAGCAGCGGGTTTAGGTATGCTGTGTAAAATACACACATCCTCTCTAAAAACAACATGATTTTTGGTTTTACAGAGAGGGGCTCTTTGGCTTCACAAACAGGAGGAACAGTCCGGGTACGGGATGTCAACCAGGATCACAGCAGAAACTAAAGGTCTGTTTTATGTTTAGATCCGAAGATGTTCCGATAAAACGGCTGTCGGCTGGAATCAGAGGTTTCAGCTGAACCCACCCAGATCGCTGACCTGCTGGTGGGAAGAATCCAGATGTTTTCCAAATATTGAGCAAATCAGAAATAAGAGCGACCCGGTTCTACCAAGCAAAGCGATCTTTGATGTGGAAGTTATCAGACAGTTGTTTAAAAATGAAAGTAAAATATTTCAAAGTGCAGGCAGCAGAATCTGAGAGGTTCATCTCCTCAGTCATTTTATATTTTGGTGGCCTCTGGAGGATTTTGGCCATCTAGCCCAGTTCCTCCGTTCTCTCCCTGAACCTTGGAACCTGTCAGGGTCCAGTTTCTCCGGGTTTTCCCTTTGAGCTTCCAGACTCCGTCATACAACGTTCTCATTTCTGAAATGGTAGAAAGCTTTTTAGAAATTTCAGAGATGTTTAGGGTAACCTATGGACCCATGTATGGAGGCGTCAGGAGGCGAATCCAGCCTGTGGTCCTTTTTTCGCATGTCTCTCCTTCTCTTTCATTCCCCCTTTCCTGTCAGCCTACTGTCCACAAAACAGCCACTAGTGCCGTAAAAAGCCAAAAAAAGAAGAAAATTCAAAGATGAACATTTATAACCTCTAGTGTTATTAAAGCTGTTAACCATGTTAGTTGTGCAGTTTTCTAATTGCCAACTTTATAATCATTTCGTCTTTGTTTAAAACAACTAATTCAACAGAAGGTTCCTTCTCTTTGCCTCCTTTCCTGATTGATCCCTCATAGCTGCAGGACAGGAAATAAACCTTCTCTTAATGCTACGAAAGTTTATAAAATGAAAGTTTATGATGTTTAGTTCAAATGTTTTCAAAGAGTGCTGGCAGATGAGATTAGTGAGAATAAATGGTGACCTGCTGGTTCTGGTATGCTGTGACTGTGGTGAACTCGGTCTCTGGGAAGGAGAAGGTGTGAACCCCTTCGGCTGGCAGAGCCTGGATCTGCGAGGCGTCCATGCGAGCGTCGTACCGGATGATGTGAACACGAGGCTTGTATTTATGCATCGACTGAAGGATGATCTGCAGAGCAGCACAGGAAGTTCTGTAGGTTCATCTGTTTTTATAGATAAAACTTTAAATGGAAGGAGAGCTGCCTTTTAGAAATATAAATTCAATTAGTTCAGTATCTGAAAATAATGAAAGTAGACTAGATTGCTTCTCATCCATATGTTGCTGAAAAATATTTTAACATTTTATTCTACAGCTATTAGAAAGAATTTATACTTTCTAAATAAAATATTTGGAAAATCTTGCAAAAAAACAGCAGGAATTGAAATAATTGACTATTAATGAAATACTCATCTTAGTAGATCACAAAAGAGGAAGTTATTCATTGTATATTTCTGCAGACTAGAGTCGACTGCAGTTTAATTTGGTAATTTGTAAAATTGTGAAGGTAAAAATGTGATTAGATGATTAAATGTTTTATATGTGTTAAAATCTATTTTTCCTGATAAATTTCCTTTTTAATTAAAGTTAAATGACGTTGTACAAACACAACTTAGTACAACATCAAAATAAATCATTTTTTTTTAAATTCCATAAAATTAAAACCGGTAGAAAAGCGTCAATGTGTTGGAAAGTTGAGCCCAAACAAAGATTCTTAAATTCAGGCTCATTCTTCAGGTTTTTAACCTTTAAGATCTAAATATAAGCTTTATTTTCAAATGTTTACATCTTTCACTTTCAAACAACAATTTCAGGCAGTTTAGCTGGAAAAGACTTTTTCCTTTTTTTTGGCAGTTTTAAACTAAACATTTTATCTGTATAAAGATATAATGAATTAATTATTATTGAAGAGAAAACAAATATTTTTATTTCCTTTTGGAGTTTTTTTTTTACTGCAAAGCTTCAATTTTTTTTTATAAATTAATCACAAATTCTTGTTTGCACATCTGTTAAACTGCCATATAAAGATGGATTTATTCTCCCTTCCTGTTTTATTAAAAACAAAACTGAGATTCAAGCTTAACTGAAGCTTCTGAAGCAGCGAAGAACTGACTCTGCAGCACATCTCACTAAAAACACAGGAAATAAATCACAGATAAATCCAGTGTTTTTACACTATAAAAAATATGAATGAGATTATAATTAAAGATATTATTGTTGAAGATGTTTAATCGCACTAATAATCCTCTTCATGTTGCGTTATTAAAGCAAAGGAATGTGCTTCTAATAGTTTCTGTGTTTGAGAAAGAATTAAAGTTTCTGAAGGTTGAATAATTTAGTCAGAGCTAATGAGGTAAACTTCTCTGGTCAACCTTTTTAAAAACATAAATATTGTTTTAATAACTTTTATTCATTAACTTTACTATTCCTGTTATTTTAGATAAACCAGGTGATAAAATGAGGTTTAAAATGAGTAAATTTGTTGATTTTAAAATATTTATTTGAGACTTTTCAATCTAAACGATTAAAATTGGTCAAACAGATTAGCCTCAAACTTCTTCTTCAGTGAACATGATGAAAGTTTCCTCAGCAGAGCAGATCCCTGGTTACCTACATGTCCTTTATCATCCATCTCATTGTTGGTGAGCTTGACCCGGTCAAAGCTGATCACCTGTCGCATCCACGTCTCTCCTGAGCAGGGGGAATCCGGATGCACATAGAGGCGAGGAGAGATGCACGAGTGGTCCGTGTTTCCAGCCACCATCCACTGAGAGCTGTGGTACACGTACCTGAAGAAGGCCAAAACAAATCAGCAATCGAAAGGGAAAAGTGAGAGAGGATTTTGGAGGGTATTTACAGCAACAATGCAGCGTCTAAAAAAAAGATACATTTTAATATTAGCTTTTTTATTATGGTAATAAATCATATCTAAAGCCTCCTGTCAGCTGTTCTATTCCTGTGTGTGATGTTAGAAAAATCATGTGGGTTTTATTATAAATATATTTATAATATATTTTATTATGAATGTGTCACAGAAAAAGCTTTGTAACAAAAATGTTTAAAATCGAACAGTTTTAATGCTTAGCCTGACTTGCTAACCATTGATCTGATATGAAGCGTTTCATTGATTAAAGTTTCAGAAGTAAAATGCAGGCTCCATGTTTATCTGTTCATTCTGACCAATGCATCAGTCAAACTGGGAAGTTTAGACGCAGCTGGTTCGTCATTAATCCTGAGCTTCCCTCTAGATTCGGTCTCAGATCCAAACCGCTGCTTGATTAAATTTTTCTCCTCAGGTTTAGTTTAAACTGAGCAAAATCAACTAGCATGAAGAACCCAGAACTTCCTGCAGTTTATTCATGGTTATTAATGATTAACGGCTAATATTAATTAAGACAATATAATTAAAATCTGACATTGGTCCAAGTCGCCTATTTATTAATGAAACAGGATTCAATGTCCCAATATTAGAGTAGATTGATGTAAAAAATATTTAGTCTTTTTATAGAATATAAACCTGATGAATTAATAATAGAAACAGTGAAGCTTCTTTGTGTGATTTCAACTATAAAATAATATCTACAAACCGGGTGTGTTTTTTTAAATAGAAAATGTTGAATAGATCTGTTATCCTATCTTTATGAAAGATGCATCAGCATTTTAAACAGAATAAACTACCTAAATTCTTAAAGCGTGTAAAATATGTCATTCTGCTCAAATGATCCTAAAACTATTTTGATTTATCAGCTTTAGGTTTTTATTTTTTTTTTAGATGTGAACTTTATTCATATCTAATGATTAGTTTCTAAATAAAAATTAATCCAAATGTTTTGTCAAGTTTATTACCATTTCCACAGATAGTTTGCTGAAACTTTTGAACTCACCTGTAGCGTTTGGAGTCCACCGGCATGACGTCCATCGCCACGTAATACTGCTGGCAGGGCTCCAGATTGCGCACTTTGACGCGAACAGACGGAAACATTCTTCTACAGAAAACAACAGATATCAAGTAAATAATAAACGTTTGCAATAGTCTAATGAAGTGTTCCTGTTTATAATTGCAGCGCAGAGAAATGAGGAGAAGCAGCGGAGCCGCGCGCGGCCTGCTGCGCAGTTGAACCGAGATTAATTTTTTTTTTTTTTAAAGAACATGATATAAATTCAATCCCTGAAAAATAAAACTATGGTTTTCTTCATTCTCTTGCTCTAAATACCTGACAAATAAAATCAACACAAGAAAATAAAATATTTTGTTAAGAAAAAAAAGCTGAAATATATTTTATATTTCCGTGAGTTAAATATTTCAATCCTTCCTTTTGAAGGATTGAAATATTATTTAACAGCCTGATCCCGCAGATCACTTCCTGTAAAGATCTTTGCTGCTGATAGACTCGCTTTCTAAAGCAGGTAAACAAAGATGATCTGATCTGAACAGAAAGGAGCGGATTTGTTTATATTATGTAGTTCAGATTTTTGTCCTGAGCGATTTGATCAAAGTTGTTTTTCTCCAAAACAAAATGTTAAGTTTATTGATGCAGCCATAGGCTAATCCTGCCATAACACCGCATCATGTGTGCGTGGATCCCCGCATGCTGATCTGTTACCTGCCAGCTTTAGTGATGATCATTTCTGTTCCAATTTCATAGAATCTCTTCCACAGCTCGGAGCCCTGCAGCTCCGCCTGGACCCCTCTCTCTGACTCCTCTGTCCCGCTCTCTGCCGGCTGCTGACCGGGCTTTTCTGCAGGCCTCCACGGTGATGACCCGGCGGCAGTCATCTGACTGGCGGTGTGTTCAGCCTGGCCTATAAAAATATTCGCTTGAGTTATTTCCTCCTTCTATATTGATAAAGAAACGTTTTAAAAGAATGATTGTGGAATGTATTGAATATTGGTTTTTCTTTCCCTTAAAATGATATTTTAGTTCTACATGTGCTTCACGGTCAACTATCCGGAAGATTTTTAACTTAATTTTTTCTTTCTCTCCGTTTTCAGACTGTGCGTAAAACCACCGCGTGTTTGTCTCACCGTGAAAGATTCCAGTATCTGCAGCTGAACTTGATTCCTGCATCTCGGACACTTTCATCCGCTTGTAGGGTTTCCCCACAAGCGCCTCCACAGAGAAGGCGTGAGCCCGGGAGCTCAGGCCCTGCATCCCGACAAGATGAAACTATCCGCCCGGACTTAAGATGAATCTTCCAGTTGCAGGATGGGGGCCCCGCTAGTGGCAACTCAGAGCTTCCCTTTTCTCTCGCAGCGGCTCCTTAACGCTGCGTAATGGATCCGATGCGATGCCATGTGTTCTCTGAGACGCGCTGCTTTGGTCCAAAGTCGTGGATTGTTGGCACGCCTCTTCACCTCCACCCCAGACTTCATTTATTCCCTGACTTTTTCTCTGCCCCTTTGCTGGTCCCTGTGCGTCACGCAGAGGGAGGGAAGAGCGCGGCGCTCATTCCTTCACCGAACCTGAGCTATAAGCTCTGCAGCCCGACATTAGATTGTCTATTAAATACTTATTGATGGCAATGACGCCTTATTTTCAACGTGTTAACATATAGAATTGACAAATCTAAAAAAAATAAACAATAATAATTTGTTATCACTTTCTTACATTTCCTGTAGCATATTAAACAAAGTCTGTTCAGACATTTTTCTGCAATTAAATATATAGTAATAAATTATTATCATTATTATTATCTTAGGCAGACTTGTACACTGACTTGTTAAAGTATTCACACCCTTTGAGGTTTGCTTCTCGGTGTTCCCATTCCAACCATACAAACTGTTTTAACAGGTCAACCAGGACACGGTTATAAAAACACGCTGCTTCTCTGAGGATTAAGAATGTGATGGTAACCATGGAGACGCTTCATTGAGCTCAGAAAAATCTAACGGGCCTTTTGATTAAAACATCTGATTTTATGGAAGAATAAAAAAAAACAACTGATGAAAAAGTCACAGTTCGTCTGAATATTTCGCATCTGTGAGGAACATTAAATGGAGAAGCTTTGGTCCCACGATGAAGATTCTCAGTCATCCAGGTCAGAGTCATTCAAAAAAAAAAAAAAAAAAAGTAATTTCAGGATGTTGGACTTTAGGAGCAAAACGCTCCACAATGTCAACCTTAAAGCATGGTGGAGGCAGTATGTTGTTTAGAAAGAGGAACTCTGGATAGAGTGGATGGGAAGACAAGTAGAGCAAAATAAAGAGTTATCCTGAAAGAAAGAACCAAATGACGTCATAGCCTGCAAGGAGCAGAACAGCGAAGTTATCGAATAGTCGAGATCAACAAAATGCTGATTTCTGTCCGCTAAAACCAATTTTAAATTAACAATTAATTATTCCTTACTACTACTGAATTACTACTTCTTCTTTATTAAGTGGTAATTAATGCCTCCCGATGTTTTCCCATATTTTGGAGCTTAATACTCGCCTTAGAATTAAATAAACTATTGTCAATGTTGTAAATGACTGGAACGACGTTTAGAGCAAATTTAGTTAGATGAAATATTAACCAAATGAAATAAGTTCATTTTATTTTTGTTTAAACCAGTTTTGGTTTTATCGGACTATATTTCCCCTGTAATTTAGGCCTGATAATATCTTTAAAAAGCTTTTTTTCCCCCTGTTTAATGGACGTCCAATCTAATCTTCCTCCTACTTAATTAATCTGGCCTTTAAATCTGATGGAATGTTCTGACTTCTCATATTTTCTTTGAAGAAGCCTTTCAATATTTTTAGAGATTGCTTCCGCACTTTTAGACAGCCGATACCTAAATGAAATGTTTTTCAGACTATTGGAAAGGAAACAAAGGTCCAAACATTGAAGTCTGTAAATTTAGGACATCTGGAAAGGAGGAAAAATGTCTGTTAAACTTAACATTTCCCACATTCATTTCATTGAGGCCTTTTATGTAGGTGGGATTTTTTCCGCCTGGTGTTGCGCCCGGCAGGGTGTGCGCCAGTCTGCTTCTCATAAACGCACAGATCGGCTGGAGATCTGGGCCATAATGACAGCTCAGGATTATTACATTACGGCTCGACATGAAATAGATCCGCTTTACACAAATAAAAGTGAGCGAAGGCTCAGTTTAAAATGGTTTTAATCACATGCTGTAATTGCTCTGAGGAGAAAACAAATGAGGGTTGTGTTTATGGCACGCTTGGTTTGGTTGCTGATGGAAATCTCCCGACAACAGCCGGGAAATGGAGAGCTATGACCAACCCGAATCACATGTTCTCTGTCATCATAACCTGTTTGCAGGAGTCAGGTTTTATTATTTCCCAAACGTCTCCTTCTTCCTTCAAACTTAAAAAAAAAAAAAAAAAAGGAAAAAATAAAAGACGCCTTAGATGCTGGATTTTTCTCTGCAGTCTGCTGCCGCCATTAGACCATCCAGGGCCACATGGCTCACTGCCCAGGGGGGCAGCAGTGAGGGGCAAGAGGAGTTGTTTTATTGCTAATGTCCAATCATAGTCTAACTTCAGTAGATATAACTGATTTTTAGTGCTAAATTAAACTACAGTTCAATTCAGTTCAAATTATTTATATATCACCAATTCACAAAGAAACGTCATCTCAAGCCATTTTAGATTTAGACCAAACTATTAGAGAAAGCATCAGAGAAGGAAGCCAGAGTAAAGCTAGTGATATAGCTGAGTGTAAAAAACATCTATTATATATTTGTTGAAAATATCTTTATGATTCACAATGTGTCACATCAACTGTTTTTTTAATGTAATGATTGTCCATTTATTTAGCACAATAAAACGTTCAGTTATTTGCAGCAGATGTTTTGTAGCCAGCTTTACTTTTAGCTGCTCATTCTGATGTTGACTGATTCATTTTAGGAACATTTTCTTATTTGGGCTCCATCCAGAAAGTTTTGTAAGGGGAACTAGATGCGGGCCAATCTAGTAATAATAATAATAATAATAATA